CACACACACACACACACACACACACACACACACACACACACACGGTGGGCAGGGCAATGGAGGCTGAGAAAAGGCCTGACCAAACCGGAGACTATGATCCTATCTAGCATCGGTCCTTTGTGGGAATGCTCACCGAATTCAGCCATTAAGTTTGTTCTTTTCTAATAAGATGAAGGTTTTATCTCATGAGAACCTGGGCATCTTGGTTTTCCCACCAAACATCTCTGCTCCGCTATTGCCCTGCACCTTTGCAGAAGGCGGCAGTGACAGGGGCTGCCAGGAAGCAAGAGAAAGGATGGGGGACAAACGATGCTACTCACTTAGCGCCTTTGGACTCTCCCAGGACCTTCCACCAGGGCACGGGGTTCGCTGGTGTCTCCTAGCTTCACCCTGACCCTTGTGGGGTCATTATTGTGAAGACTGGGAAGCAAGGAAGGAAAAACTATCCGTGCTGTTCAGTTAGGTTTCAGATGGCCTCCAGTCGGAAGGAAACTGGAACTGATGCCTGGTGGATGCTAAGAAGGAGATTCTGTGCATCTCAAGTGCCCGTGCGCTTTGACGAGAGGTGGCAGCGGGGAGAGGCATTCGGTTGAGAAGGAAAGGGAGGAAACTAGCATTTATCAAATGACTTTGCATTTGGTGCTTTGCATAGCTTCTCACTTGATCCTCAGAATAGGATAAGGCACCAATCTCCCTTTTGTGGCTGAAGAAACCAAGACTCATTTTCTAGCCCCAAGGTTCCTTAGGGGAGCCAGCGTGTGAACCAAAATCTGACCCCAGAACTTGACCTTGAATTCAAATGGCTTCTCTCCTCCTGGGTGGCCTTGTGGCCTCGAGCAAGCCCCTTTACCTCTCTGGTCCTCTGTTCTTCATCTGTAAGAGGAAATGATTGAGTCAATCGTTTTAAACCCCTTTCCAACTCCATAATTCTTGTACCAGAGAAATGTACCCGTTCCACCCTGCTCTCCCGCATCCAGGCAGGAAACAGGTAGACAGCACTCGCAGATGCGGGGATTTACATTCATAACTCAGGTTTGCATCTGGGCACATTTTAAGTGCTTAATGCGTCTCCTCGTGGTTTAAGATGAAATTTTTTGAGTAATTAATCGTGTAGATGATCAAAATTTTAACTCTCATTTTCAAATCAGTTCCTATTCCTGTTTAATATTGCTTTCTTTCTTTTTACGTATTTGAAAGATTGCACTAGTGCAGATTCTCATTCAAATAATGGCTTTGAGGAGCCTGCTTGTTTTTACGGGGTGCCCAAAACAAGAGATCTTGTACATCCAAGTCACTGTTGGTCATGGTAGAAAAGTGCTGTTACTATCATATATTGCTATCTATCTGATATAAAGGATATTCCCATCAGATGGATGCACTGGAGGCTTAATCCATGTGTGGATCCTGCAAATGAATTTGGGGCTTTCACTGCCATCCACAGCCTTCTGCAAACCAAGTGTTCACAAGTTAAGGTCTGATACCATTCCCTCCTTTGGACTGAGATTTCATTATTTACAATCCTTGGATCACAAGACTGGTGTGCTTCTTCCTTGTGGACTTAGTTGATGCCTCACTTAGAGGACTGTTTGTTACGACCCCAGATGCTATTCTTTCTGATAGCCGAGCACCGCCTAGTGTCTTCACCATTCTTTGCTAGCGCACTCAGTGATCTCTTCCTGAGGCGGAGCATCAAGCAGCCCATGTCACATTCTTAGACTGAGGCTAGACTTCAATTTAAGCTGAAAATCCATTTTCTATCTATGGTTTCTATATGCCGCTGGTTCTCTTTAGAGACATCCTTATCATTTTATGTTAGAGAACATTTCAGTTACTGTCTTTTGAGATATAAAAGGGATCCCAAGTGAGCAAGCCGAGCTGAGGGAAGAGAGACGCCAGGCCACATGAAGACCGTGTAGGAGCAGACACCTACAAGAAACAGGGACCTGCCCCAGACGTCTAGCCTCCGAACTTGTTAGAAAGCAAAGTTCTGTTCTTTAAAGCCACCCACTTGTGGCATTTCTGCTTTAGCGGGACTAAATATCTAAGACAGCATGTAACACGTTTCAAATAGCTGGTTTTAATTTTTTTCTCTATAATCACAAGTAGGACCATTGATTGAGTTTTGACTCAATGCCATGCTTTATACCATGAGTTCACATTCACGATCTCGTTTATCCAGATGGAGAAACTGTGGCTCAAGGAGCCTAAGTCATATGCCCAAGTTCATGTAGCTTATAAGTAATAAGGGCTGGATTTGAACCCAAATGTGTTTGACTCAAAAACCCATAATGGCCTCTTCTCTAGAGGAAATGAATGCACTCTTGGGTCCTTGCATTCTATCCTCAGGTAATAATATCTTTCTTTTCTTTGCAATGTAAAGCAAGATGTATATATTTTCCCCCAGCAGTTTTTTTATTGACATATAAATTCACAAATCATGCAATTCAGTAGTTCAATTATATCATGAAGAGCTATATAGTCATCACCACAGTCAGTGGTAAAACATCTTCATTTTTT